CTCTGGTAAGAATGCCAGTTGCTGGCTGGTCCATTCCAGAAAGTTGAAGGAGAATCACTGCAACACGTTTTTTAAACTGTAAATTAACATCCATCCAGGTAATCAGGTCATGGCTAGAAGGGATCCAGCTTTTGTTAAATTAACGTCAAAAGTAGATTATTTTGTGTGCATTTTAGCTAACTCTAACCCCTTTCCTAACCTTAACCTAATTCTCCTAACCCGCTGAGTAATTTCTCCTAAACTGCAATTAAAAGTCAAATCTGGATCCCTTCTAGCCATGACCAAGGTAATAATTTTACATTTTAGTCATTTAGCAGACGCTCTTATCCAGAGTAACTGACAATAGTGAGTGCATACATTTCATACTTTTTTTTAATTCTCTGTACTGGTCCTCCCGTGGGAATCAAATCCACAACCCTGGCATTGCAAGCACCATGCTCTACCAACTGAGCCACACAGGACCAATCATGTACTGAAAATGGAATTGAGTTAGTTTGAAATTAAATATGAATGTGGCTCTTTGAGCACATCGGATCGGCTATATGCTGTAGGGCAGGCTTGTCATGGAAATGTTGGCAAAAAATATTTACACATAATTTTTTCAAAATACTGTCAAAACAAAAAAATCACTGAAAGGGTCCACAATCAAAAGTATCTAAAAATCGAGGGAAGTTACTTATAGATGATTTGGACATGAAGCACGAAAATGCCAATATAGTTACAATTGAAATGCTACAAAGTTAGCATTTGAAACAGTGGCCAGGTAAGCAAAACCAAAGCATGGATTGCTGTCATACCTTGTCCATAGGTTGCTTACAGGGTAAGGAAAGCAATATGTAATTTTGTAATTTGGGTGAACTATCCCTTTAACCAGGATATACATCCTTTATACATTCAAGTAGTCGTAACAGCATTATATTCAATAATTACATGCATAGGCCTAATTCCAAACAAAACTGAAGAGTGGAACACGCACTCCTGTACCCGCAAAATACTGGCACACTTTCACACGCGCTCTAGGACGCACACCTGTTGCACCTGAGCATATGACCGGAAGTATTGTGGAATCCAATGGGTTGCTTTAGCATTATCTAGCCCAGCATGCTGACAAAAAGGGCAGTTTAATTAAAAACAAGCAGTATTTCAATCTTCTAGATTTTTCATTCCAGATAATGGGATAATTAGGAGCACAGCGACATCTTCCATCCCTGGATTGAGGTATTTTTCAAGCCATATCACGCGTTCTTCACCGCGGTGCAAACATTATGGGTGAGAGGAGTTTCTACCTGTAGAGTTTATACCTGCGAACATTTACACTTAAACTTTTTTCTCTGTCTCAAAATCTGCATCAGCCAATTAAAACCATCAACATAGTTGCATGTGATAGAACCCTATATGATTGCTGTTCCCATGAGATAACCTGGCACACTTAGCCCTCTGCTAACAAGACCAGCTGGCCACGATTATTTCCTGTTTTCTTTATTGTGTATATTGTTTTATTAGTTATATGATTTTGCTATTTATTACTGCACTGTTGGGTAGAGCTTGCAAGTTAAGCATTTCACTGTATTTGTGCATGTGACAATAAACCCTGAACTTGAACTTGGCCATCAGAGGGATATTTAAACCTCCAAAGGTTTACTTTTGTTCTGCTTGGTCTGTAACAAGTGTAGTGTCCCAATATTGCATGATGCATCCTTGACTAGGCTACAAGCTGCTAACGTTAGGCAAAATTCAAAAGGCACATTTTCGCATATATGACAAAATCCCACATCTTTGCTTATCCATTTCACACACATCCATGTGCATTTACAAAAAATAAATAAAGGTGGTTTATATACAAGGTTTAAGTTTATCGTACGTCATTTTAAAAAAGTAGAAGAGACTAATGGTCTTGTCAAAAAGCTGTCATGTACCTCTATTACCATCATACACCACTAGTAAGGAGGTTAACTCTAAATCTTCGGGGTACAGTAACCGTGGGTTCGAGGGCCCCTCGCGTGAAGATTTTTTTGTTAAGGAAAAAAACTGTTCACTGCTGGTCCTCGATGCTAGATTCAAATAAGGCATATGAGACGAAGTGGATGATTATAATAATGCATATAAAACGTTGTACATGTAAGTGTAGCCTACACGTCTATGTAATATAGCCTATATTGTAGCGACAATTATTTATGTAGCAGTAGCCTATGTGTCGGTATGCAAGAGTGACTTCCATTTGCAACACACTAACAAAATAAATGTAATTCTACATTTCAACTGAAAAAACTGTATCTCTCCTGGGATTCGAATTTGCCACAAACTGCAAAAATTACCAGGAGCCAGGCTAGCTAAACTGTGTGCTATTCTTCCAGTTGAAGTGTTGCACCTGTTTTAATCATATTTGATAGCAGATCGTGCCATTTGACTTCTGTTAAGGACACTTTCGTGAAAAAGTGTTCAATCATGGCCAACTACGTCAACATTTGTAATTGGCTGATGCAGAATTTGTTACAGGACATAATCATGGCCAGCTGGTCAGGTTAGCACAGAGCTAAGTGTGCAGGTTATCTCATGGGAACAGCTAACATATAGAGTTCTGTCACATGCAACTACTCCAACAATTTGAATTGGCTGATGCAGATTTTGAGACTGAGAAACGTTTTCTAATGTTAGCAAGTATGGACCCATAGGGTTCAGATGTAGTTACTACTGAATCTCAGGCTGACACATTACGGCTAGCCCTAGCCCTAAACTGTCTGCATCACACAAGTGCAGCATGTGAAAATCTGATGGGATGCATTTGCTCTATTGTTCCACATTTTTGTTGGTGGCACACTCTTTGATGGTGTGTACATCTTACAGAGTGTGGCTTAATGGCAGTTTGCCTCCAACCACTAAGATGCAGTTAGGAATAGCTAGATTGATTAGTGCACAAATTAACGCAAGAAAGAGATCATTCTCCCTCCCTAAACTAATTTGCTGTCCTGGATCTTTCATTAATAAGTCCATCCAACTAACATTTCTAAAATAAATGGCTATTGCTGTAGTAAATCTACCAAATTCAATAAACTTAATTACAATAAATTCAGTAAACATTTAGATTGAATGCAGTAACTGTGTCACTTACCCCACTAGGATGCTTTAAACATAATTTAATAAAATGGCAAAGGAACCTCTGCAAAGCCACTTAACCTTGTAAAAGCCTTGCATACACATTAAGCTAAAGCTTATTTGCACAGGAATAGATAACAATTGATCTGGATTTCCTTGCAAATATTTGATCACTCCATCTAAGTTGTTATTGGGTGACTTCACTGGGTCGCCTCTAATAGCTTTTTGTCACTGGTCTCACTTGTCATTCGATGCAAAGCTCGGAGGCCACTTTTTCTTTTGGATCCCAAGAAGCCGGCAGAAGTCAATACTGGGGGATACTAATCTTTCTGGCCAAGAGAAACCTCTTTATGGGTTTAGTCATGATGTAGTATGCTTTATTCCAAACGAGCGGTGATTAGAAATATATGAGCTGTGCTGTAGCTCAAAATCTTCTGTCCAGCAAGGCCATTGTCAAGTCTGCCCTACAGCACTAGACCACATGCAGCACTACAGGAAAAATCAGCATAATAAGAGAGAGCAAAGTGTTTTTTAAATACTTTAGTTCAATACAAGAAACAAATATTGTTGACTCTGAAGCTAAGATTTTAGACCGCTTCTCTCAGATGTTCATCTGTGTTGCACAGCTGTTTTGTGAGAGAGTGAGGGTACTACAGTATTACCTCTATAACTAGTATCCCAGTAAGGCCTTGAAGTTAACTGTGCCGTCTTTCCAGAGGTCCAGTATAATGCCTGAGGTACAGGAGACCATGACTGAGGCCCTGCCAGAGCTGACCACAGAGCCCATCACTGGAGTTGTTGTGGTGTGTGCCGAAGCAAGGAACCTGCTGGATACTATGTTGTGAGTAACTTCTCCTTGCTTTTTCATCATTCACTCTTTTAGATTGAGGATACATTATGAAGCATATTATTTAATAATAGCAATGCTTATCATCTAATATAAATACATTTTATTGCATTTCGCTCAGCATTTTCCAATTACTTTGACTTCAACCTCATTTGTAGGCAAATAAATTATGTTTACACATATGCATATGTTGTGAAGTAGATACAGTATGATTTGGTAAATTCGATACTTTCTGTAATCAGCGTTTGATCAAAACAGTGTTCTCAATAACGTTGTTGTGTTGTTATGGATTCTACGATTTTGTTTTTGGAGGGTAGCCATGAAGCACTTGGACATGCGGTTGGCTAACACTTTTGAGTAGTGTTGTGTTTTTTGTGAGACAAATTGAATAACTAATTAATGCAGTTTACTTTGATGATGGAGATGATTACTGTAGGCCTATTTGTTGCCATTAGTCCTTCAGCCTTGCCAAAGGCTATGGTTTAACAACCCTTGGTGGATGCCCCCCACAGTTCTGGCACTGTGTCCCCATGTTTGTTTAACACTCTCAGTGAAGAGGGGTTGCCGGCTGTTTGGCACCCCGTAAGTTTGAACAATCTGGTTGTGAGAGAGAGGAAAGTAGGACAGTGATATCACTGGCCCATGGGAACCATGTTTGTGTTTTTGAAAGAGTGAGAGTGAGAGAGAGAGAGAGAGAGAGAGAGAGAGAGAGAGAGAGAGAGAGAGAGAGAGAGAGAGAGAGAGAGAGAGAGAGAGAGAGAGAGAGAGAGAGAGAGAGAGAGAGAGAGAGAGAGAGAGAGAGAGAGAGAGAGATGTTTTGTGAATGTAGCAAAGCACAAAGCAAACACAGTGATATAGCCTGAAGTGGGCTCAAGGGCAGATCTCTATTCCTTTTCTTTCTCTACCCTCTACCCTCTCTCTTTTATTTTTCCTTCCTCTCATTCCCTTCTCTCTCTTCCTGCCCCAACCCACACAGCCCAACAGTTGTAATCTCTGGTGGATGATGGTGGGTTGGCATTGTGACGATGCTTTGCCTACTGGCATTGGGACTGCATGCCACATGGTAGTGAACGAGAATGAGAACGCCCAGACTTCCTGCTTGGTTTCTTCAGTAGGATAGATCCCTCTGTTGTTACTGAAGGGAATGGAGATGTTGCTCCACTTTCAAATCAAATCAAATCAAATGTTATTGGCCACATGCGCCGAATACAACAGGTGCAGACATTACAGTGAAATGCTTACTTACAGCCCTTAACCAACAGTGCATTTATTTTTAATAAAAAAGTAAAATAAAACAACAACAAAAAAGTGTTGAGAAAAAAAGAGCAGAAGTAAAATAAAATAACAGTAGGGAGGCTATATATACAGGGGGGTACCGGTGCAGAGTCAATGTGCGGGGGCAACGGCTAGTTGAGGTAGTTGAAGTAATATGTACATGTGGGTAGAGTTAAAGTGACTATGCATAAATAATTAACAGAGTAGCAGCAGCGTAAAAAGATGGGGTGGGGGGGCAGTGCAAATAGTCCGGGTAGCCATGATTAGCTGTTCAGGAGTCTTATGGCTTGGGGGTAGAAGCTGTTGAGAAGTCTTTTGGACCTAGACTTGGCACTCCGGTACCGCTTGCCGTGTGGTAACAGAGAGAAAAGTCTATGACTAGGGTGGCTGGAGTCTTTGACAATTTTGAGGGCCTTCCTCTGACACCGCCTGGTATAGAGGTCCTGGATGGCAGGAAGCTTGGCCCCAGTGTTGTACTGGGCCGTACGCACTATCCTCTGTAGTGCCTATGCGGTCGGAGGCCAAGCAGTTGCCATACCAGGCGGTGATGCAACCAGTCAGGATGCTCTCGATGGTGCAGCTGTAGAATTTTTTGAGGATCTGAGGACCCATGCCGAATCTTTTTAGTCTCCTGAGGGGGAATAGGCTTTGTCGTGCCCTCTTCACGACTGTCTTGGTGTGTTTGGACCATGATAGTTCATTGGTGATGTGGACACCATGGAACTTGAAGCTCTCAACCTGTTCCACTACAGCCCCGTCGATGAGAATGAGGGCGTGCTCAGTCCTCTTTTTTTTCCCTGTAGTCCACAATCATCTCCTTTGTCTTGGTCACGTTGAGGGAGAGGTTGTTATCCTGGCACCACACGGCCAGGTCTCTGACCTCCTCCCTATATGCTGTCTCATCGTTGTCGGTGATCAGGCCTACCACTGTTGTGTCGTCGGCAAACTTAATGATGGTGTTGGAGTCGTGCCTGGCCATGCAGTCATGGGTGAACAGGGAGTACAGGAGGGGACTGACCACGCACCCCTGAGGGGCCCCGTGTTGAGGATCAGTGTGGCAGATGTGTTGTTACCTACCCTTACCACCTGGGGGCGGCCCGTCAGGAAGTCCAGGATCCAGTTGCAGAGGGAGGTGTTTAGTCCCAGGATCCTTAGCTTAGTGATGAGCTTTGAGGGCACTATGGTGTTGAATGCTGAGCTGTAGTCAATGAATAGCATTCTCACGTAGGTGTTCCTCTTGTCCAGGTGGGAAAGGGCAGTGTGGAGTGCAATAGAGATTGCATCATCTGTGGATCTGTTGGGGCGGTATGCAAATTGGAGTGGGTCTAGGGTTTCTGGGATAATGGTGTTTATGTGAGCCATGACCAGCCTTTCAAAGCACTTCATGGCTACAGACGTCAGTGCTACGGGTCGGTAGTCATCTAGGCAGGTTATCTTAGTGTCCTTGGGCACGGGGACTATGATGGTCTGCTTGAAACATGTTGGTATTACAGACTCAGTCAGGGACATGTTGAAAATGTCAGTGAAGACACTTGCCAGTTAGTCAGCACATGCTCGGAGTACACGTCCTGGTAATCCGTCTGGCCCTGCGGCCTTGTGAATGTTGACCTGCTTAAAAGTCTTACTCACATCGGCTACGGAGAGCGTGATCACATAGTCATCCGGAACAGCTGGTGCTCTCATGCAGTCTGGTAGTCTGGTTAAGTCAATGGTAAGTTGTGTTCTTCTACTGTTCATGTTATAGGCTAGACCTTCTTTGGTTGCTCCTTTTCTGAATTCCTCTTCAACGATGACTGCTTTTGAGAAATACATTTTATGCCGTAGTAGATCAATGAGCTGATTAACTATTTTGCTCTCCATTACAGTGCACTCACATTTCTGAACTTGAACAGGTTGTTCCTACACAAGAGAGCAGGCCCAGATCAAACACTGTTCCACAGGGATCAGGAGCTTTGCTCAAGCTGCAGCCGCCGCCCTACATCAAACACCTTAAGCAGGCACTGACACTGACACAGACACTTAGGGCCGCAAAGGGAAGCTGTGTGTCATTCAAATTTGCCTGAGCATATAACATACTACCCTCATGAGCACATTAACATAAGTTTATTTGAAGGAGTGTGGTGTTAGCCTGAGATCTGAGCCCCCTGTAATTGGCTAGGACCTCCGCTGAATCGGTTTACTAACCTCTGATGACTCTGAATCTTGTGTCCATTTTGTACTGTAGAAGCAGGGTTGGGTAGGTTACCTTCCAAATGTCATCCGTTACAGTAACTAGCTTCCTGTCCAAAACTGTAATCAGTAACGTAACTTTTGGAATACCCAAACTCAGTAACGTAATCTGATTACTTTCAGTTACTTTTTGATTGCTTTACCCTTAAGAGGCATTAAAATAAGACAAAAAGGATCCATCAAACTCATTTTATGTGTCATCATAGTGGTCTCTGACTTGTCAGACTCAATCACGTGGAACAAACTTAAGCTTGCGCCTATTTTCAATGCTGAAATTAATGTAGTTGAGAAAACAGAAAGGTGTCATTTGTTTTTACCCAAACAAAAGTAATCCAATAAGTAATCATTTAGTTTTCCAGAAGTATCTGTAATCTGATTACAATATTTTTGCTGGTAACGTAACTGATTACACTTACAGATTTGTTTTGGTAATCAGATCACATGTAACCGATTACATGTAATCAGTTACGTTACATGTAATCAGTTACTTCTCAACCATGTGTAGAATAATTATCATCAGCAGTTTATTTGTGATCTCTCTGACTGGGAGACATGTGTGCTTCACCTACAGTAAATTCGGAAAGTATTCAGACCCCTTGCCTTTTTCCACATTTTGAAACGTTACAGCCTTATTCTAAAATTGATTAAATAAATGTTTTTCCTTATCAATCTACACACAATACCCCATAATGACGAAGTGAAAACAGGTTTTTAGAATTTTTTGCACATTTATTAAAAGTAAAAAACTGAAATACCTTATTTACATAAGTATTCAGACCCTTTGCTTTGAGACTTGAAATTTAGCTCAGGTGCATCCTGTTTCCATTGATCATCCTTGAAATGTTTCTACAACTTTATTGGAGTACACCTGTGGTAAATTCAATTGATTGGACATGATTTGGAAAGGCACACACCTGTCTATTTAAGGTCCCACAGTTGACAGTGCAAGTCAGAGCAAAAACTAAGCCATGAGATTGAAGTAATTGTCCGTAGAGCTCCGAGACAGGATTGTGTTGAGGCACAAGACTCTTACTAGAGCTGGCAGCCCGGGGGAGAAGGGGGAGAAGGGCCTTGGTCAGGGAGGTGACCAAGAACCCGATGGTCACTCGGAGAGAGTTCCAGAGTTCCTCTGTGGAGATGGGAGAACCTTACAGAAGGACAACCATCTCTGCAGCACTCCACCAATCAGGTATTTATGGTAGAGTGGCCATACAAAAGCCACTCCTCAGTAAAAGGCAAAATAGCCCGCTTGGAGTCTGCCAAAAGGCACCTAAAGGACTCTCAGACCATTAGAAACAAGATTCTCTGGTCTGATGAAACCAAGATTGAACTCTTTGGCCTGAATGCCAAGCGTCATGTCTGGGGGAAACCTGGCACCATCCCTACAGAGAAGCATGGTGGTAGCAGCATCATGCTGTTGGGATGTTTTTCAGCGGCAGGGACTGAGAGACTAGTCAGGATCAAGGGAAAGATGAACAGAGCAAAGTACAGAGAGATCCTTGATGAAAATCTGCTCCAGAGCACTCAGGACCTCAGACTGGGGCGGAGGTTCAACTTCCAACAGGAAAACGACCCTAAGCACAAAGCCAAGACAACACAGGAGTGGCATCGGGACAAGTCTCTAAATGTCCTTGAGTGGCCCAGCCAGAGCCCGGACTTGAACCCGATCTAACATCTCTGGAGAGACCTGAAAATAGCTGTGCAGCGACACTCCCCATCCAACCTGACCGAGCTTGAGAGGATCTGCAGAGAACAATGGGAGAAACTCCCCAAATACAGGCGTGCCAAGCTTGTAGCGTCATACCCAAGAAGACTCGATGCTGTAATCGCTGCCAAAGGCGCTTCAACAAAGTACTGAGTAAAGGGTCTGAATACTTATGTAAATGTGATATTTACGTTTTTCTACAATCCTGTTTTTGCTTTGTCATTACGGGGTATTGTGTGTAGATTGATGAGGGAAAAAAACAATTAAATCAATTTTAGAATAAGGCTGTAACGTAACAAAATGTGGAAAAAGTCTATATCTGATAAATTTTTGTTTGGTATGGCTCTAATGACATTTTGGTTTCAATGGTAGCAGTTGCCTTTCATAGCCTTTTCCCAGTTAAAGTCCCAAGAGGCTCCATATTGTAGGTGCTCGCCCTCAATATTAACTCAGTGACGTTCTCTGTCTTTTGAGATCTGTTAGGAATTACCAGTACTCACAATAGATTTAACTATTTCATAGCAGTTTTTCAATTTCGTTTGTGCAGATTTTTGGAATTGGAAGTTGAATCAGCACACTTTTATATGTGTACATGACATCAAAATGACAAGATCAGAGTTCAAAGATTGATTACTACCGTGATTCTTCTGTTCTTCTTCAGACTTTTCGTGCAGTGGAAACACTCCCAGCAATGAGCCCTGTTGGACGATGGGAGCCACATAACAGTAGATCGTAGAAAGAAAATAGAGAGCAAGTGCATCCAAACTTTCCCCCTGCAGCTCTGTGGTTGGTGTTTCAAATTCTAGGCGCATCACCCCCTGCTGCCGGAGCTGTGGCAGGATGACACCTGAGGTGCCGCCTCCTGTAGGAGCGCTGTGCCCTCTTACTCCCCTGCTTGACTTTGGGTTTCACACAGCCAGCCCTTTGTTTACACTGACAGGATGCGCTGGCTACTGACCTGGAAAAAGTGGCCAAGACGGGTTGTCTTGTAAGTAGGTGGGGGCTTCTGGTGATGTATGGGCTTCTCATGGGACCTTTCACTGCGCCTGCTGGAGATGCCTGCACACCCTCTCTCTCTTTCTCTCTTTCCCCCTCTCACTTTCCCCCTCTCTCTCTTTCTCTCAGCCCCTCTCTCATCCCATCTAGTCACTGGTGGTTTTGCATGAGTCTCTCCCTGCCATGTTTTCCACAGCCAATCACCAGGGTCATTCATCATTATTGTCAGGGTGGTAATGTGTGTGGGTGGGTGCAGAGATCCAGGACTTCTTTGTTTGAATGAACCTCATTAAATTGACTCTTCTTTGTGAAGGATCCTCTCAGAGAATAAGTCTGGCAGTCATTTTGGTGATTTACCGACGATGGCCAATGTAACATGACGTTTCAGCCAAGCTTGTTTGCTGGTAGCTATGGAGAAGTGTCTGACTCAGTCATGTGAGGGTCGTTTTGGCTTCATCATTCTTCAGTTCATGCACACTAGGTGTGCTGCCTACACTGTCTTAATAGCCTTTTCTAACGTGTGCCTGGGCTCTTGTGCATTATGTTGCCATATCCAAATACACAATACCCTGTAAATACTCAAATCTCCCCATCCCCATCAGGATCTTTTAGCAGCACAATGAAGTTTGGTCTTCCTTATTAGAGACTATCTTTGTCAGGTTGTCTTTAATTAATCAGCCCCATCCCAAGGGATGATATTTTTAGCCACCTGTTTGGAGGCTAAGGCTCCTTCTTTACCCACACAGGGCACTAATGAGATGGAGCGGTAGCACAGGCAACCGTTAATTAAGTATGCAAGAGAAGAGGCTAAAAGCAACACGCTCACACAGTACATACATTAACTTTATCCCACCACATGCATGTTCTTCTCTCCTTGTTGATTTTTTTGGGTCGTTTTTTCACGTAGGTCACATAAACAACAGATGGCTCTGACGCCGACCTGTGGAAGGACAGCTTATTCAAATCCAAGGTCGCCCGCTACCTCTGTTTCACCAGAGATAATGTAAATGTAAACTTCTCCCTTTCCCTATGCATCGTGCAGTAACACCTCATCCCTAACACCTTTGCCCTCTCTAGCGTTCTCCTGTGGAGATCTTTGATCATTGAAACTCCAATAATGGACCATGAATTTTAAAAGTCTGGTATTTGAAATGAATGCAAATCCCAATCTGAATTTTGGATTATATGATTGCATTTTATTCTTGATGTGTGATACCTTGGTGGGCTCCCAGGATTATATTGTTGATGTTCTTGCGTCCTCCAGAGAGGCAGATGTATGATTATTCATAGTATTAGAATGAGCTTGTATTTAAACTATTTCAATTTATTTAATTAACCTTGTCCCTGTACAGAATGTGGATACCTTCCAGTTATTCTTCAAAGATGATGCACACATTTTAAAAAATGACATTTTGAATATTTATAAGAAATGAAACTTCTAAATCCCAGTTCAATAGAGTTGGAAATGGGGCACCTGTTTAAAATAACAGTCATAACTCTGTGAATTGAGCTCTCTTTGAATGTTCTCTACATATCAACTGTTAGGCACGTTTTCACATTTCTTTTGTACATATAAAAAACATTTGAGAATAGAGAACAGTGATGTTCCTGCTATAAAGCCTAAAGTTGCCATGGAATATAAATATAGTATTGTAGTGGGCACAGAGTGTTGCATAGTTGTCATCAATACATATGCTCCAACATTCACACTTCCTTTGCTTTTCCTGTGGCTCAGTTGCCTATTTAATTGAAGAAAACGTAACAGTGCATAACCATATGCTACCTATGCTAAGTATACTATTGTTTTTTAAACTTAAACATGGAGAATTTGCACAAATTTAGCTAACTATGTGACATGGGTTTACTCCATTCATCAGACTGACCAAGTAATGGTCCTACATGAACCAAGTGATGATTTAGATGGGCCCTATACAGTACATGAACATTCTTCAGTCCAAAAGACTGATGGTATGTAAACAGGATTGTAATGATTCGACATCCACTTCAACCTTTGTTCCTTTCCACAGTTTCTGTCAGTGTCTTCATTTACAGCCTTGTGGTTAGAGTTTATCAGCTGAATGAATGCCACATTGTATAGTCCTCGACTTTTATTTGATAAAACTATGATTTTACCTCATTGGTATACATAACAGCATTTTTACCTGCAATAAATTATTTCTGTGTGTTCACTTTGACATATTCTCGTGACAAATCAATAATTTATGGTTGGATACTATGACTAATTCTGAAAATAGTTCCTCCATTAGAATCCTTGTGAGTGTGTAGACACCTGTAGATGGAGCTCAGTCTGGTCCACAGTTTAGTTTGTATCACACAAATAGCTTTGCCCTCATTCCTGTGTGTTATCTTAAAATGTGTGTCGGTGCTGTGTTTAAAGACTTTGACACAAATAAAACATGACAGAGCCATCAACAAAGGCTATTTTGTCTGCCAGTCAATGTAGCCCTCTCTGTAATTGTCATTGACAAAAACAGATTCTGCAAAATGAACCACTGAATTATGTGGAGGGAAGTAAACAGTTTGAGATTCATCATACTCTAGGTTGGATGTAGATGGCCCTTTTGTCAGGTCCTGATGGGAAAAATCTATCTTGCAAAAACCACTACAAAAACAAGGTTTCATGCATAGTAATAACATTCATCCATATTCCACCCTAAGTCAGAATAAAAACGATGAATAAAAAATATATCTAATGGTAATGACTGCTGGGCAAAAGGAGCAGTGGAATCCAGACTTTCGGACGCATCAAGTCACGGCTCGGTCGCCACACTCTCCAATGCCGCTGTGTATTATTGCAATTTATTACAGGGAAAGATTTCAATATAATGACAGGAGACTGGGAGGAGTCATGCTTGAAAATGACAAATAAATGGTCCCTGATTGTTTTTAACCAGTCCCATTCTGATGAACAGGCAATCCTGCCTGCCTCGCACACTGTTCCTCTCACCGAGGGTTGAGAATGATTGCAAGTTCACAGATGCATTCTAATTTTTTAAAGTAGCTATTTTGGAGTAATTACTTCCACCATCGTGTCAACTCCTCTCTTTAGAGACTTCCCAAGCTTTTAGGAAATCGTTGATTCAATTGTCTTTGTAATTTATTTTCAGACCCTTACAAAAACGTTATAACCCTTACCCCCCTCACTACTTTTGGAATGAGATATGTTTCTTACTATCTATTACATGTGAAATGTGCGAACAGTAAGTGGATATGTAATTCTGAATGTTTTCCTGTAAAGCCAGTCATCAGATGTGCTCGTTGACTTGAGGTTGATCGATTTGAAGGACACTCTAAAAAAGGGCTTTATACCCATTCAAGAAACAGTGGACACCAGTAAGTAAGCAGTTTCCCCTAAACCACAGCTTTGCTTGAGATGGTGAATGTTTTATGGATGCAGGTTAGCTTTATTTACGATAGTCTGTGGGAATAAAATAAATATTTTGCCCTGGAGGTACAAGTGAAGAGAATCATGAGTCATTGTTTATCTCAGTTGGAGCTGTGCTTTTCTTTATGAGGGGCTTATTTATTTATGTATTTATTTGGGGAGAGGACGAGTGGATGGGGTTATCTAATATTAATGAAATGCATTCCCCAATGCTTTAGTGGTCTTTGAGTGCTATGTATTCCCCCCTCACTATCCAGGCCTTGAAAATGTAATAATATTTTGGTGTGGGGAGTGAGAACAGCTTGTTTATTATTTTTATTACCATTGCATTTACACTGCAATTTCTATCCCTGGTTGGAAATAAATGGGTGAGGCACAGAAGTAATATGGACAAGCATGGCTATGTTTTCTAGCTGGAATAAAGAACAGAAATATTATATATTGTTGGGCTATGGTTTAATGTAATGTTTTATTACTTCATGTGAATCCATGTTTAATGTATACAACTAACATTATGTATGACATTTTATCCTCCATATCGAGTACAAAACCACATTTATATAAGCTAGCAATATACTGTGGCTGCTGTAGGAGTTAGCATTTGTCTTTCATTTTCGAAACAAAGATGTTAAACGATCATCATCATTGATTTTTGTCAGTGCTTACAGTGTATTCTCTGTGTTTATATTTCATATCATTCTACCACGCATAGCTGTGACAAAGAATTGAATTTGGCCTCTAGTTCATGATCCCTAATATGGTCTGTCTCCCTTATTGCTTGTCAGAGGAGCCTGCCTTGAGGAAGAGGAGGCTGTGCGTAAAGCTCGGCCTACGCGTAGCCACAAAAACTGCTGTGTGTGACATCCAGATCCAGGGGAAGTCCGAGCACACCCCTGCACACTACACTTGTATCGGGTACTTGGACAGACCTACGGAAGGCAGAAGGAATATTGTTTTTATTGTCGTACTTTCTCCCTGACACCCATAGCATTGTATTTGTTTGGAAATGCAGTACCATGGCAAGATTCTCAGTAGGCTTTCATTGATTTCACATAATCTCCAATGAGCAGGATTCCTATTTTCCTTCTCAAAACGAACTTTGCCTGCAGCCTGCTAGAGGCACCTGCCTGGACATGAACAGTGCACAGCCTGCAAGTAGTAACTCTTCTGCTCTGATCATCCTCATTTCTGACATTGTTCATCAATCATATACAGTGCCTTCGGAAAGTATTCAGACCCTTTGACTGTTTTCACATTTTGTTACGTTACAGCTTTATTCAAAAATAATAATAATATCCTTTGTCAATCTACACGCAACACCCGATAATGACAAAGCAAAAACAGGTTTTTAGAAATGTTTGCTAATTTATATTTAAAAAAACAGAAATATCACATTTCCATAAGTATTCAGACCCTTTACCCAGTACTTTGTTGACGCACCTTTGGCAGCGAATACAGCATCAAGTCTTCTTGGGTATGACGCTACAAGCTTGGCACACCTGTATTTGGAGAGTTTCTCCCATTCTATAATATACCATTTAGCAGACGCTTTTATCCAAAGCGACTTACAGTCATGCGTGCATAAATTTTTTGTGTACGGGTCGTCCCGGGGATCAAACCAACTACCTTGGCGTTACAAGCGCCGTGCTCTACCAGCTGAGCTACAGCTTCCGTCTGGCCACTCTACCATTCTTCTCTGCAGATCCTCTCAATCTCTGTCAGGTTGGATGGGGAGCATCGCTGAACAGCTATTTTCAGGTCTCTCCAGAGATGTTTGATCGGGTTCAAGTCCAGGCTCTGGCTGGGCCACTCAAGGACATTCAGAGACTTGTCCCGAAGCCACTCCTGCGTTGTCTTGGCTTTGTGCTTAGGGTCGTTTTCCTGTTGGAAGGTGAACCTTCGCCCCAGTCTGAGGTCCTGAGTGCTCTGGAGTAGGTTTTCATCAAGGATCTCTCTGTACTTTGCTCCGTTTATCTTTCCCTCGATCTTGACTAGTCTCTCAGTCCCTGCCGCTGAAAAACATCCCCATAGCTTGATGCTGCTACCACCATGCTTCACCGTAGGGATGATGCCAGGTTTCCTCCAGACGTGTCACTTGGCATTCAGGCCAAATAATTCAATCTTGATTTTATCAGACCAGAGAATCTTGTTTCTCATGGTCTGAGAGTCTTTAGGTGCCTTTTGGCAAACTCCAAGTGGGCAGTCATGTGCCTTTTACTGAGGAGTGGCTTCCGTCTGGCCACTCTACCATAAAGGCCAGATTGGTGGAGTGCTGCAGAGATGGTTGTCCTTCTAGTAGGTTCTCCCTTCTCCACAGAGGAACTCTAGAGTTCTGTCAGAGTGACCATCGGGTTCTTGGTCACCTCCCTGACCAAGGCCCTTCGCCCTTCCCCAGATCTGTGTCTCGACACAATTCTGTCTCGGAGCTCTACAGACAATTCCTTCAACCTCATGGCTTGGTTTTTGCTCTGACATGCGCTGTCAACTGTGGGACCTTATATAGACAGGTGTTTGCCTTTCCAAATCATGTCCAATCAATAGAATTTACCACAGGTGGACTCCAATCAACATCTCAAGGATGATCAATGGAAACAGGATGCACCTGAGCTCAATTTTCAGAGTCTCATAGCAAAGGGTCTGAATACTTATGTAAATAAGGTACTTCTGTTTTTTACTTTTAATAAATTTGCAAACATTTCTACAAACCTGTTTTCACTTTGTCATTATGGGGTATTGTGTTTAGATTGCTGAGGATTTGTATTTATTTAATCCACTTTAGAATAAGTCTGTAACGTAACAAAATGTGGAAGAAATCAAGGGTTCTGAATACTTTCCGGAGGCACTTTATGTGCTATACTCTCATTAGTTATTTTATTGGTGGCAGGTAGCTTAGTGGGTAAGAGCGTTGTGCCAGTAACCGAAAGGTCACTGGTTCTAATCCCCGAGCCTACTAGGTGAAAAATCTGTCGATGTGCCCTTGAGCAAGGCACTTAACCCTAATTGCTCCTGTAAGTTGCTCTGGATAAGAGCGTCTGCTGAATGACTTTGAATTTGGAGTCTTTTCTCTAGTTCATTGTGATGATGTTGCTTATGAAATTAGGGGTACTTTTACATCTGAGTGGTGCGTGACTTTTGTTTCTACAGAGAGCTAAACAATTTGGGGATTTGGTACCGAATGAGGAAAGTCCATCCATCCACAGAAAGCTATGACTCAATGTCCAACACAACAAGGTACATACCAAGTTCATAATCATACTGTTATGACCAAATGAGCATTAACACCCTCTGTCTCAACTTGTAGTTGAAAAGGCCATGCCATTGTGTTGTTGTTTAGAGTATTTGGAAACGTTTGAGTCCCATTTTAAGATGTACACGTGTTTACCTTTTGGTAAATCTGTGATCCATTAGTCAGTCAATGTCTCTTGAGTGATGGGATCTATTACACACAAGTGATTGACACTTGTTCATACTCATACAGTACATGACCTCATGGCTGTGCCTGGTCTGAGAAAGCAGTGAGGGAGTACTGAAGCGAAAGGGAACCCAGACAGGATCCCCTGAATGGGAGCATGAGTTCAACAAGGGCTAAACTCCTGCTATTTGTGCTGTCCCAAGAGGGAGAGCTTGTTCGCTCTCTGACTGTGGTAGCAGGAGTGCTGTTGTACTGTGCAGACAAAGGGGAAGAAACGTAGCCTAGAGAGGCAGAGACAGCTGCAGAGGAAGGGAAGAGAGCGGCAGGCAGTGCAGAGAGCTCCACCATGCCATGCTGTTGCCGTACCATACCCCCATCCTCAGCTACTCTGTCTTCCCCTGCCTGGGGCCCACAGAGAAGGAGCAGGCCTTTGTACTGCAGCCAAATCCAACAGCTCAATTAGGTTGCCAGCTTGAAGTGCTTTGTCCTGGCATGTTAGAGGCTCGATGTAGAGTGCAGTGTGAAAACCAACCACTTCACAGCAGAGGTCAGACTGAGGGAGTGGTATTCAGAGGTGAGACACTGTTCATATGGCTACTCGGTGTGATAACAGAAAGTATCTAGTTTCAAAGGCAAGGTTTAAAGTGAGCAAACTATGGTTTGACAGAAGAGACCCAAAAACTAGAGTTGTGTGAATCACAAATATTTGGGGAGCAGATAGTTAATGTCTTGAAACGATCTAGAAAGCCTAGGCCGTATACCCACTCAACTGTTACCAGTAATCCTTAGCTCTTTTGAAGCAGACTTTCAAGTTGCTGAGGAGTTGGGGGTAAGAATAAATTGCACCTCGAAGCAACACACTTACACACCCCCTCCTGATGCCTGCTGCGATCACACACTCCTGTTTTTGTATTAACATTAAAATTCATGCCACAGTGTGAGAGCCTTGCTTTTAGTGCATTTCCATCAACATTGCACAAAAACACAGGAGCAAGAAGGTGGGCTGAAGAAGAAGCTCCCACTAGCCAAAGTAGACAATGCCATTTTATAAAGTCTATTTTGCTGTTCTCGTCTTGTTCGGCTGCTCCAGAGCCCTCATTATAGACAGATAAACAACTAACATTGAAAATGTGCACCCTTTCATTATACTGACCATCTTGTGCTACCATGCATTGTAATATGTGTTTATGAGGCATATAGGCTATGTTTGATTCAATTCAGTCAGTAACTGTTACCAAAATAAGTATTTCCATGTTTTCGAACTACTGCAGCAGTTAGTATGGTATCTGTCATTTCTGAAAACTTGGTTGCATCACTTGACCACTTTCCTTATCCATGTTCAGCATATGAGAATTCCCTCCTATGACCTACGCTGCCTTGGGGCTATCTATGACAGCTTTATGGCCTTTTAGGAATGGCACCTTAAATGTACAGTAAGTGCCTTTCACAGTCAGTGGAAAATATGTTTTAAATGCAGTCAATATTGTGTAAATATTTTATGACCCTTGTAAATTTGAATGCTGGTGATTCCTTACATTTAAAGCTGTCAGCATCTAGGTTAAAGTTACCTAGGCCTTGTTTTGAATAACCTACGCCTGTAGCTAAACTGAAGAGCGATGTTGTTACAGATGTAGAATCTTAATTTGAGCCAGTTTGCTACAGCAGGAAAATAATCCTGCAGCAAAAGGAAATGTGAATTATTATGTGGATTATAATTTATGGATATTTTCGTAGGGGTTGATACCTTTTTTGTAAGGGAAAAGCAAGTCTGAAATTTCAAAGTGGAAATTATAAACTTTAGAAGCCTTTTTAAACCTCAAACACTTAGGAAAGTCCTCGTGCAACAGGATGATCAAATTAAGATCCTACATCAGTATGTACTTGTACCTTTTTCTGATCAAGTTTGTCTGGAACATCCTAACTTGCTGCCATGTCCCATTTAATTCATTTATTTGGCCTGATGTCAACCACTTCAGCTCTCTTTCCATCTTGAGAAGGGCCAGTCGGCCAGTTCCTGTCCCCTTATGTGGAAAAGCTGTGACGTCCGGTCAGGCTTTTAATGCATCCACTACAGCTGCCCCCTCTCCTCTCCTCTCCTCTTTTCCAACGCTGCCATTTGTTCTCCTGATAAAACTGTCATTGCTGAGGCTGATATCTGACCTCTAGACAGACTGGTGGCATAAATTAGCCTTGTGCTAATATTGTCATGTCTTTTTTCCCCCACAGAATCAAGGTTTTTGTCATTTCTCTTAGAATAATAGCCTGGACACTTTTTAAATCAAATGGCATAGCGATAAAAATGTTGAGGCCAAGCATCTTTTCCACACTGTAACTGGACCATATTTTTATGATTTCGGTTTTCAAAACTGTTATTCAGGTCAGGCACTATAATTGAAAGAAAAAAAAGTCTCAATCTCAATGCCAGGGTTGGCATGCATTCACTCTCCTCTAACTTTTATAATGTCCTTTCCTCTGCCTTTGACACTTTCCAAAGTGTTCCAGCTGTGTGTTGGCATTGTACCTGTCACCATTCCTCGCTGCCTAACCAACACTCTCCCTGTACCTGACTCTTGAGGGAGGCCATCATTGTCTGTGAGTGTGCTGTTTTGACAGAGCTCCCAGCCGTAATGTCACCGTCACACTTCTTGAAAGCACTCTTTTTCTTTACTTTGTGGAATCCTAAAAAAGTTGCAAATGTATCTCAAAATCAAGCAAATGGATGCAGAACTGTGCCACAAACGATAGAATCATCAAGTGAGATCTGATGCTCAGTGTGCTCAGAGATTCCTGTGAATTCAGGCAGCTATTCGTTTCAGCACCTGACACAAAGCTTAAAGGGAGATAATGATGGTTGAGAAAGCAGCCCTTGCAAATCAGGACTGTCTGCATGTTGAGGAAGGTGTGGAGATGTTGTCATGGAAGAGGCTGGATGAGTGTCAAAATATGAACTCCCAACTCCATCTATCACAGCTCAGACTCTTCACTGATATAATTTTTTATCCTTGTCTTGCCTGTCTGCAGACCACTACTTGTCTATCCACTGTCTAACAGATAGACAGCTTCATTTTCTTTTACCTCATTTCTATCTCACGACCACATTAAACAAATATCTAAAACCATAAATTGATATTGCGCACTAATGTAGGATTTTGACAGCTAATTGATCTTATCAAGCAATCATCAGTACCCTAGTTTTACTTAGAAAATTCTGACTTGAAAATGTAATGTGTGCCAGCTCAAAGTGAATCAGGTTTTTATGCATATGGCTTTTATGCATATGTGTTTGTGATTACATTCCGCATCGGTTTCAATGGACCAATGGGCTCCTGAGTGAAGTTGTAATTGTTTAAATCTTTCAGGCTATGTTCCCAGTTTTACAGTAATTTAATGAGGAACTACACTGTAATTAAATATTCAAATTAGGAACCAGTGTCAATATGGCTCTCGTTGCCTAGAATGATGATGAATTGTAGTCAAAACTCCAGTGGCCAACATAATCTGAGCCCAACCGCTGCCGTTGATTACGTAGCAATACACTTGACATGTTTTTGTTTTAAGAATTAGACATGTAATTGATTTGCCATATGGTACCCTATAGCCAGTGCACCCAAATTATGTCTAGAAATCCCAGAATTTGGATTGACACAGTTCTTTGTGTTTTGTATGAATATGAACATGAAAAATCTTCGACCCCTTACTTGATACAGTGGGGGAAAAAAGTATTTAGTCAGCCACCAATTGTGCAGGTTCTCCCACTTAAAAAGATGAGAGAGGCCTGTAATTTTCATCATAGCTACACGTCAACAATGACGGACAAATTGAGAAAAGAAAATCCAGAAAATCACATTGTAGGATTTTTAATGAATTTATTTGCAAATTATGGTCGAAAATAAGTATTTGGTCACCTACAAACAAGCAAGATTTCTGGCTCTCACAGACCTGTAACTTCTTCTTTAAGAGGCTCCTCTGTCCTCCCCTCGTTACCTGTATTAATGGCACCTGTTTGAACTTGTTATCAGTATAAAAGTCACCTGTCCACAACCTCAAACAGTCACACTCCAAACTCCACTATGGCCAAGACCAAAGAGCTGTCAAAGGACACCAGAAACAAAATTGTAGACCTGCACCAGGCTGGGAAGACTGAATCTGCAATAGGTAAGCAGCTTGGTTTGAAGAAATCAAATGTGGGAGCAATTATTAGGAAATGGAAGACATACAAGACCACTGATAATATCCCTCGATCTGGGGCTCCACGCAAGATCTCACCCTGTGGGGTCAAAATGATCACAAGAACGGTGAGCAAAAATCCCAGAACCACACCTAGTGAATGACCTGCAGAGAGCTGGGACCAAAGTAACAAAGCCTACCATCAGTAACACACTACGCCGCCAGGGACTCAAATCCTGCAGTGCAAGACGTGTCCCCCTGCTTAAGCCAGTACATGTCCAGGCCCATCTGAAGTTTGCTAGAGTGCATTTGGATGATCCAGAAGAGGATTGGGAGAATGTCATATGGTCAGATGAAACCAAAATAGAACTTTTTGGTAAAAACTCAACTCGTCGTGTTTGGAGGACAAAGAATGATGAGTTGAATCCAAAGAACACCATACCTACTGTGAAGCATGGGGGTGGAAACATCATGCTTTGGGGCTGTTTTTCTGCAAAGGGACCAGGACGACTGATCCGTGTAAAGGAAAGAATGAATGGGGCCATGTATCGTGAGATTTTGAGTGAAAACCTCCTTCCATCAGCAAGGGCATTGAAGATGAAACATGGCTGGGTCTTTCAGCATGACAATGATCCCAAACACACCGCCCGGGCAACGAAGGAGTGGCTTCGTAAGAAGCATTTCAAGGTCCTGGAGTGGCCTAGCCAGTCTCCAGATCTCAACCCCATAGAAAATCTTTGGAGGGAGTTGAAAGTCTGTGTTGCCCAGCAACAGCCCCAAAACATCACTGCTCTAGAGGAGATCTGCATGGAGGAATGGGCCAAAATACCAGCAACAGTGTGTGAAAACCTTGTGAAGACTTACAGAAAACGTTTGACCTGTGTCATTGCCAACAAAGGGTATATAACAAAGTATTGAGAAACTTTTGTTATTGACCAAATAGTTATTTTCCACCATAAATTGCAAATAAATTCATAAAAAATCCTAAAATGTGATTTTCTGGATTTTTTTTTCTCATTTTGTCTGTCATAGTTGACATGTACCTATGATGAAAATTACAGGCCTCTCACATCTTTTTACGTGGGCGAACTTGCACAATTGGTGGCTGACTAAATAATTTTTTTCCCCACTGTATACTTAGATTCTATGTTCTTTTATCATTCCATTGATCGATGAAGATCTGTGTTTGTAGCAGAATCAACTAAGCCCTATTCTATGGCAATGTCTGATCTTCCCTTGATTTCAGTCAGTGGCAACCCATAATTTCATTATAAAGTGCTTTGTTCTTATACCAAGAAAGATGCAATTTTGAGTGGAATAGTTTTCAAAGGCCGGCTAAACATATCTCCATTTTGACCTTATAAAATTGGTGATATTTGAGCAAATGGATGCTTTAAAATAGGTTCTCTCTGAATGCTTCATTTACATTTGTGTATCTCAATGGATCTGTTCATTGTTCTATGCTATATCATGAACCAAACCGCTCAAACGCATTTCTTCAAAAGAGCGTCTAAACAATCTCCCTTCAGTTTATCAGTGTTTGTGAAATGTCTCACAGCTTGGAGAGACGTGTCCCTTCCTTTTTCAGCATTGGAGTCAACCTTTGCAAGGTAAGGGAAGTCTTCATTAAATGTTGCAATCGGTTCCACAAGATTGATGCCAACCTTTTAAAAATTCACCATTGGCTAGGATTTAACATGGCCAAATGCTGATGTAAATGAACAGGGGAAAAGTCGAACCTATCATGGCAAATAAATCTTAGTTGCAAACTTCAGCTCATAAATACCACAAACTGTCAGGGAGCTTGCTTTATTGCTTTTGATAGAAATTATTGCATTTATTTATCTCATCAAAAGAGATAAAACGTAAAATAGTGCAGTGTTGCCCTCAGAATATGCAGATACTGTCAGATATGTCATTAGTCTTGCATTTTGGAAATTAATTGTTCAGCCTCCTGAAGATGCATTGTCCTAACCACAAACAGAGCAAATGGGCAAACACACATAAACATACACATAATACACAACTACATTTTTCCAAAGTTAGTTTGCTTCTTTTATTTTCTGTCTAAAGAGCATTTGAGTTATTTGTTTGAATCCTTGTTACCCTAGCTAAGGCTATTCAAGTTTCCATTAGCATGATATTACATTCACACCTTGCTCAGCATTGCCCTACATTTGGACACACTGTAGATTATAGCTACATCAGATATGTTTCATTATGTTCGGGAGGAGCTCATTTAACTTCAAAGCATGTCCAATGTCACATTATGCAGTTATCCTGAAGCTGAGACATTTCTTGTGCTTGCTGTGGATTTATCGATCAGTGGGGGTCAGTCACAGGGTGTAATTCATGATAGCTTGATTGATGAGGATTGAAATCTTATAAAGTTTGTTAGCTCCAACTGCCCATGAAGTGCCTGCTTTTTTTTGTAGTACAAGCTTATAGTATGTTAAAACAGACAATTTATATTCCTTTAGCACTAACCAGCCCCTAATCCCAGACCCAAACCATTAAAGGTCTACCAAAGCCCCCGTGGCAGCTTTATTTTCACATTTCTCCATATCCAGCCCTCTTCTGTCAGGTGTGTCTTGTCCTGATCAGCGCTCTGTTTGATCTTGAAGGGAGTGGGGGTGTCGTTGTGGGGATGATGGGGTTGGAATAAGAAGATCCTGCCCCTGTGAATCCCTTCCCCTCCTTACATCGAATCCACGCCTTGGCATTCTTCTCCAGATCTCAGAGAAAATGTCACCTTCAATGTTGTGGTACACTCATCTGACATGGCATGGTGCTTTATCTCCTCCAGGAAATACCTGCAGCGCTCCCCACCAGCCCCTACAGGAGGAGCACCAGCAGGCCTGACTCAGAGAGCTCCAGTCTCTATACCATTTCAGCTAAACTGCATTTTTACTGCACCAAACTCAACAACGCATATAGGGAGTCTCATTGTGTAGACCCTCCTATGATATGGAAGGTGCACATTATACAGTCAGTATATGTGGTAAGGTGTCTTGCAAATGATCTGAACTGTATTCTACATTTGTTTAGCTCTGTCACTGTGCCGCAACTTGACCCACTGATAAGTTAAAGCTAGTGTTAAATTCCTCTCACTTCTAATCATTGCAGAATCAAGGTTTTTTCATCTTTCTAGCCGTATGTTGTTCTGAAAGTATTTAATCTCCACCAACGAGTAGATTGCTCCTTTGGTAATTGATCTATGCATACAGTATATGTCTATCTTTTATCACAGACAGGTAAAGAGCTGTGTTTATCTGAAAGAGTGAACACTGCTTCCCAGAGGAGCTCAGCATTACACTCAAGAGAACGTTTAACGGCTGTCAAATATGATTCATCAAATGCCACGCTAACATTTACCTGCAGTTGTAGGAGAAATGCTCTTTTAGTAATAATAGAGTGGAAAGTGTACTGAAATTGATCTGGACTGGGCTTGGTTATAGAGTCAGAACTTGCTAAGACGCCGTAGTGGCTGGGGTGGTGCTGCTCCAGACGAGGTGTGTGGAGAGGAGATCAGGCAGGTTTTATCCAGCTGGAGAGAGACACCATGTGGTGAGGATTCCTCTTGTTCCACAGTGGAGAGATAGCGGGGCTGTGGCATGCAGTTATCATCTCAGTTGTCCTTGTCACACACTGACTGTCTCCTTACTTGTTTTTACAGATAGTCAAGCCTACCAGTCTGATATTATATGAGCTCACACAATTTCATTACATATAATTACTAATTTGGGGATTCCTTTTTTTCAGTGTTATTTAGAATGTTCATGTTATTGTTTCTATTATCTGCTACCTACCTTGGTCTATTCTGTGGCAGTCCATTTGAGTGACTATACGAACCATGGAGATTCAGTGCACTGCCAGCAATCATTCTTTATCAATAGAGGCTGTGCTCTATAATCGTACCAATGCCATTGGTGCCTGCTCTTCTATCTCCATGTCACAAAGCCTTTCTCTCTCTTTTAATCACTTTGTGGGGTTAATCCCAAAGTGGCATACTGTACAAAGGCTTTATCTTTCAGCCACACATAGTAGCCTTCCAGCCACACATTTAGATTGTGAGAGGCAGTATCTTTCCTCCTTCATTAACAGTGTGACGACCTGCAGACCAAGTGTGGGGTCGGAGCAGACGGTGGGTTTGTGTTAATTGTGAGCTGTGTGGTGTGGTGTGTTGACAGCTGGCCAGGTTCGAGTTGGTCTAAAACCATGTGCGCTCTGTCAGGGTTGTACAGGCGCCTTCTTTAGGATTGATGAATTGCCTGCTTTCTTGATTAAACCCTCCGTCACTTCCCAACTAAACAGAAACCCCAAACAAAAAAAAAAGAACGAGTCGAGGGGAGGAGAGGCAACATGTCTGGGGAATCTGTCATCTTCAGTCACATTATGTGCAGATGTGATGTGCAGACGCTTTGACATTTATTACCAGAATATTAAAAACTAATTCACATTGATTTTGCAACCTTCTCTCACTTGACAGTTCAAGCTCATTTTAACACAGATGGAGTTTTCACAACAGCCCCAACCTTTTCTTTATTTCACCAGTATCTCTTTGATCCAAGGCAAGTTTCTTTGCCAATTATTTCCTATACCATTGACAGGGGAGCAAGTTTTTCTTAGTGCATGTAATTATAATGAAATATGCATTTATGAAATGTGTTAGGAAATGTATTGTATTGTATCAAAATGCATCTTCAATGGTATATAGTATTATATTCATTTACATAATTAGAAGTACTGTTGTATTTCCCTTTGCTTTGCTTCACTAGATAACATAATAAGATGATGGTGTTTTGAATAGAGTTCATATACTATCTGCTTTATTGTGTATCCATGGAGCAGCATATCATATTCAGCAGACATCCTCATGATAAAAAGGTAAACTAATAAAAACTAAACATTAACATATCTATTGCGTTAATGATCTAACGTAATATGGAGTGCAATTATTTCCCAATTCATTAAAAGAAGTTCAATTAACAGACGGGAGACAGGTCATCCTTTGGAGGAGAGAGAACAAAATGAAGATTCTAAATTAACTTGGGGTAGTGAAATGTCATGGCAAAAGGATGACAATGATTTTAGATTTTCCAGAAACGATATTAGAATCCTTATTAGACTATGTGCATCTGCTTTTAATTTGCTCCAAATAATTGAAAAATGCAATGGAGCTTTCCAATTAAAGCGCCACTTTACACTGTTTAATAATACCCTCATAATATTATATCTTATGAAATGACAGGTGAGTTGGTGTATGAATAAAACATAAAGCCCTGTAATAAGAGAGAAAAAAAAACGAGACAGTTGTTGGGGGGCTTTTAAATGCTCAACATAATTTGCATATATTAATCTCCTCTTTTCAGCCTTATCAAGCATTCCACTGTATTTGAAGTTAAAATAGTCGTGACAGGCAGGGGTATGCTTCATTTTCCCAAGGATTTATTACTTGTATAATTCTGGATCTTTAATAAGCCAATATGACTGATCCTCTGAGTTTTGTGGAATTCGGTTAATTGTTCCAGATGGTGCTCACTGATTATGCAAAATTACTTTATTTCTCCTCTTTTTCCCAACTACACAATTTTTTGATTGACTAACACAGAGACAAAAGATTATTTTTAGCCCAGCACTTTCATTAAGAGGCTTCTCATCAGGTTTCAAACAAAAGTTCCATCTTATCTCTCTCTGTGGTGCTCGGCTTGCTGGACTAGCCTATGCAGAGAGAGGAGTTTAGCCCCTGCTAATCTCCAACTCTAATCTCAACCCACCATGATGTATTTTAACAGCCTCTGCACTAGTGTGGCTATATTTTATAATAACAACATTCTTTAGGCTGAGGGATTAAAATACACAAACTCTGGCTACTGACACAAAAGTCATCAGCAAGTTCTTCTTATTCAATGGCTTAGCGGCACCTCTGGTGGTTGATTAAAACCCTAACCATTTTGGTGTTTTCTTCTCCTGTAAGGGTCCATACAAAGTTCACCTGGATTCTGTTTAGCATCAGCTAAATTGAGCAAAATTAATCTTGCATGGATATTTCATGGGGGGAGGTATTGGCAGATTTACTGCAGTGTTTTAATTTAGATGATACAAGATTTAAAGTATGCAATTCCTGTACAATAAAACTGTTCTAAATTTCTGAAACGAAGCCAAAGTGTTCGGGCTTGCGTCAAGTCATGAAAAACTGCAAAGCTTCTTTCTCTAAAACCCATTAATGATTTATTCTTATGGTCAGTGTGGAGAGAGAAGCAAGAGAGGGCTAAAAGCATGCTTACTCACACAGTGAAAATCCCCAAAAGCTAGCTCGTGGTCATTTTACCATTTTGGTTATTAATATCTTAAATATTACAACTCTTTTATTTTGTCAATTTTGCCTTGATAGCTAATTACAATTATTTATGTTTTGATCATCTGCTAACTGCAAAGGGCCATTGATTTAAGCATATTAATATATTTCCCAATACATTATTTGAATGCAGTGTTTCAGAACCCCAATATAGACTCAAATAAGTGACTTTGAATAGCTTTGCATTTGCAGGCCTGACTGGACTCTGAAGTCACATTCCTCATTGCTCTCTATTCTTTCCTGGGATAAAAGCAGTGCTCCATTATTCTCAGTGGCCAGACATGGATACCATCAGTGGATGGCCTGTCACAGCTCGCTCATTCCCTCCATGTACAGCAGGGTTTGTTATCACACATCTAATTAGAACTTGATAAAAAATATTTCCATGGAATCCAGTCATTAAATGTAGTTTAAGGAGATGTATATGTCTTAAATATCTTTTAATGGCTCTGCTGACTTGTTAAGTTTGTAATTAATGATGTCCTAAATCATCCTGTAGTGTGATTTAAAAAGCACAATGAAATTTTGGAAATGAAGTCGTGTTGGAAATGGCATCTGGGGATATAAATAGTTCTGCTCAGACTGGTTCTCTACGAGGAGCTATGAAGTATGCTTTAGAAATGTTCATACCGCCCCAACAGATCCACAGATGATGCAATCTCTATTGCACTCCACACTGCCCTTTCCCACCTGGACAAGAGGAACACCTACGTGAGAATGCTATTCATTGACTACAGCTCAGCATTTAACACCATATTGTCATCAAAGATCATCACTAAACTAAGGACCCTGGGATTAAACACCTCCCTCTGCAACTGGATCCTGGACTTCCTGACGGGCCGCCCCCAGGTGGTAAGGGTAGGTAACAACACATCTGCCATGCTGATCCTCAACACGGGGGCCCCTCAGGGGTGCGTGGTCAGTCCCCTCATGTACTCCCTGTTCACCCATGACTGCATGGCCAGGCACGACTCCAACACCATCATTAAGTTTGCCGACGACACAACAGTGGTAGGCCTGATCACCGACAACGATGAGACAGCCTATAGGGAGGAGGTCAGAGACCTGGCCGTGTGGTGCCAGGATAACAACCTCTCCCTCAATGTGATCAAGACAAAGGAGATGATTGTGGACTACAGGAAAAAAAAAGAGGACTGAGCACGCCCCCATTCTCATCGACGTGGCTGTAGTGGAACAGGTTGAGAGCTTCAAGTTTCTTGGTGTCCACATCACCAACAAACTATCATGGTCCAAACACTCAAGACAGTCGTGAAGAGGGCACGACAAAGCCTATTCCCCCTCAGGAGACTGAAAAGATTTGACATGGGTCCTCAGATCCTCAAAAAGTTATATAGCTGTACGATCGAGAGCATCCTGACTGTTTACAGCACCGCCTGGTATGGCAACTGCTCGGCTTCCGACCGCAAGGCACTACAGAGGGTAGTGCATACGGCCCAGTACATCACTGGGGCCAAGCTTCCTGCCATCCAGGACCTCTATACCAGGCAGTGTCAGAGG